TTAATTAAGCTTGCGGTTAGGTTTGCATATAAGCCACAATGCCAGTACATTTTTTTTTCTTTAGGTTGAATTTTGATATTAATAAAATATTACAAATAGTTTTATCTAATTTCTAAGACTTTGTTAGAATCAACGATTTTGTCGATTAAACTAAATTCTCAATATTTGTGTGGTAATCTACTAGTCTTGATTGTCATTTTTGAGTATCAACATGAATAAATGGATTTTGATTTTAATCTTGATCTTCGATCATTTCTCAATATTCAATTGAAATCAATGAATTTTGAGATTTATGTAACATTATTGATACAATGATCTTGTCTACGAACTTGATTATTTAAGGACAAAAATGATAAATCAAACATTTCTTATCTATTTCCACATTTTATTTTTATATATATGGTAATTATAATAAAATTATATAAGTAGATGAACATTGATTATAAGTGAAGCTCATGTATATAAATAATAAATAATATAATATATATACATCTACATATATAATAACATTATAATATATCAAGGGTGTCATTAATGATAGATTAAATAAAATTTGATTTCATGTAGTCTCCTTCTAGTATAGAGTTCATTTTTCATATTGGAGTTTAACCTCTTAAAATCAAAGCTTGTCTACATATATAATCATATTAAAAATATAATAAATATTATTTTATATGATAATTAATCTACCATTATATTAATGCAACCTTTAATATATGTTATTATATAATTATAATAAAATTACATCTATATATATGTGAGCTTAGATTTTAAGTGGTAAACTTAATTTAAACAAGTAAACAATGTAAGTTAAGTAATTAAACTTAATTGGATTAATGTAAGATTTTAAGTATTCCAATATAAAACAATAAGTATTACATTTAAGGACATTAAATGAAGTTAAATTATATTAAATGGTACTATATTAAATATATAAGGGTAAAATTGGCATATAGCTAAAAATATAAGGAATTTTTATTAAGAGCATTACTTCAATTTATTCAATATGAAATTGAAAATTGGGTTATCTTTTAAGGAACTCAAATGATGGCTTTAAATAACTATTTATAGAAATAAAAAAAAAATTAACTTAATTAATAGCATTACACTTAAATGGATATTAAATGTAGTTAAATTATATTAAATAGTACAATATTAAATATATAAGGGTAAAATTGGTATTCAAAAGTTCCTCCTCAATCCACACTTTTAATAAATTGTAGATGTAAATGTAGATATGTAAAGCAAATACACAAACCCAAAAACTTTATTTCCTTTCAAAATATTTTGAACCATGCAACTTTTTGAAAAGATTGAGATATTGGAGATGAAATAAATTTCTTTATTTAAAATGCGTAGTCAACGGTTTAGTATACTAGTTTGAAGTTTGAACATGATTTTAGCAAAATAAAAAGAAAAAAAAAATTTTGAAATGTTTCGGGGTGTTCTCAACTAAGATTTTAATGAATTTTAAATGATTATAAATTCTAATGAATTTAATGATTTGAATATATTCTTACAAATTCCATAAGAATCTCATCAAATATGGTAAAATTTCAAAAGATTTACTTATATGTACTTTTAAACTTGAAATCTATCTAAATCTTTTAAAATCCTTCTCTTCATGAAATTTTTATGAATCCACCAATTATTGAGGATACCTAAATTTTAAAAGATATCATTAAAATCCAATAAAATCTCAATTGAAGACATCTAAATTTAGAATGACTTTTAAAATCTATCACAATCCCAATTAAGGACACCCTCCTTTGTCTATCATGGCATCCAATAAAGATCAATTTAGTCCGGCTAAACTGGGACACCTGGGTTACCAAAAAAAAAAAAAAGATCAATTTAGCCTATGAAAAATAATTTATTAGTATGTTTAGCGAGATGATTGAACGGCATTAAATTATACTGGAACAATAAAGGAAAAATACATAATATAATAATTTCATATTTAACAAACTTACAAAAATGTTTAAAAAATCAGATAAATCATATTAATACATTTTATACTTTTAAGATATTATTGTAAATGAAATTTAGTAAAGTTAGTTAATTTAGGATATTTTCATCAATAATATCATATCCTCATATATATCACATACTAATGTTTCTCGCACCTCGTACTTTCTTTCTTTACACCCTCTACATTCTCTCTTTTACAAATTCTCTCTCGGCTACAAATTTATAGATTTGTTTTTCTTTCTTTCTTTTTTTTCAAAAATTAGGTAGTCGCGTTTTGTGACACCTTATAAAACTTTATGATCTATAATTTAGACCACCGTCACCACCCTCCCTTAGCTGCTCCATTTGTATGACCCCGAACATCATCGAACACCTCTATTCTCTTTTCACTATCAACTCTTTGACTCAATATAATGAGTAGAAGAGTCCTCATTGACATCAACAACGATGGCAATGACAAAGAAATCGACAATTGAACAGCTAAAATTGATTTTAAATACGAACCTTGCAAATGGGGAAGAAAACATAAAAAATGATGTTGGAGTAGAGTGGGTGGTATGAGGGTAAGATTCATTTTAGATAACGAAAGCATTCCATTACTACCAACCCAAAGAAATACGACCTCTCCAAGATATACAATTTATGTCGAAAAGGTACGAAGTTGGACTAATTTGGAAACATTGGGCAATTTTATTTTATATCTACTATTCCATCTGATTTTTGATTCCTAGTCTTATTTTATTAGTAGCCATGATTGGGGCTATAGTACTAACTATGCATAGGATTACTAAGGTAAAAAGACAGAATGTATTTCAACGAAATGCTGTTGATTTTAGGAGGACTATAATGAGGAGGACGACAGACCCACCCATGATATACTAAAGGGCAAGTAGCTTGATTAATTCGAGTCCAATTCGTAAGATGGTAGTGATTTGATCCTACATCTCGTATAGTATAGAAAGAGTGACAATAGCATAGGCTAGAAGCATAAAGGTCCAACTAATGAACGCTCTTATTTTTTTCCTCTTCTCCATAAGGGAATCGATGAGAGATGCGAACAAAGGTTTCATAGGCATGAGTATCAAAGCTTCAGTACCAGCGTAAATGTCCCTTATGGTTTCAATACTAGTACCAATATCTTCCCCACTACCCACCTTGCCTAAAATCTATTTAAGTTCCAGTCGAAAAACCACCATGCCGATTATTGACCCAGTGACCAGGGTAGAGCTAGTTGGAGATATATTACCTAGCCTTTTTTTGGGCATCTCATAAATAAAAGCAACTTCCATCTCTTTCAACAAATATTAATTGAGGCCAGGTTTAATTATGATTAAAATTTGATTTTAATCTAAATCTAAATCAAAGTCAAACAATCAATATTAACTACATATTTCATGGGTCTCATAACTTTTCAACCACACATTTTAAAAACTTAAATCACAATCTACCAAAAAATCTAATTTTAATCTCCACCAAACATCCTCTGAATCAGATTTCCTATCAAGCTCCTCCAATCTAATTCAAAATCTAGTTATTCGACACTACCTTAGTAATAGAGGGGGGTAGAAATAACTCATTTTTTATTTTTAAAAAATAAAAAATTACTCAAGCCTTTTTTAATTAAAAAAATAAAAATTGATAGTCAATATGTAGGTGGTGAGGTAATTTTCTCAAAAATAAACTCATATAACTTTATCTATCAAACCGAGTCGAGCATATAAGAAAGTGTTCAAGATTATACTTTAAACGTTTAAATTATTAAGAAAAATGATTCGACCGTTTATGGTAAAAAAAAGTATATAAAAAAGTTCTAACTAACAACATTATTTATGTCCATCAAGCATTGGTCGAGACGTGTTAAGGCTAGGACTTCAATCGCATGGAGCTACATCCCAAATTTCAAAAGTCTAGATAGAGCTTATTGAATAATTGTACCAAACAATATTTGGGGCACGATGATCACATGCATATGTAAATATTCATTGCACCAAGAATATTATTACATTGGAATTTTTATTTTTTTCTACAAATTATGTTGCCAATACTCTACTCCCTTGTTCAAGGGCAAAATAAAAAATTCATCGAAATTTGGACAATTCTTAACTACGAAAGTAATGTACTTAACAATATTAATGATAGAATGTGTCTGTCAAGCATTTTTTGTTAGCAACGCTCTTAGAGACACTTTTAGGTTAACCAATCATGTATTTAATACAAAATGAAAGAGAAATGGGAACATTACCTCCTATTTATCTTAAAAATCTCATTGGCTCTCTTGGCCACCACATAAAGCGATTATCCTATAAAACAAAATGAACTGAAATTTTTGTTTTTATATGCAAAAAGAATAAATAAATAAATAAATAAAATTACAACAATGTAAAAGTTTTGTTGTGACAGAAATAATATTCCATTATTTATTTAATATTAAAAAAACAATTTTTGTCCTCCTCAACTCTATTCTTGGCGTCGCAAGACAAAGATTCCTGTCACGCATAGGAATCATAAAATTAAAACAGAGACGGAATTATAATGTATGACAAGAGAAAGGCTCATGCCATTTGTACATAATCTTGATGCTCATCCTTTCGACAGATCAGTGTTGTCAATTTTTGATTGGTGCAAAAATTATCATGTTTTTCTGTGAAGTATACAATTTTTCTGTACAAGTAGCATTGGCCACGAAAATATTATTTTTCTTCGGGCCAAAGATTTTTATACTTAAAATTCAAGTTTTAAGTAAATTTTCCATTTTTGCTTCGAGATGGGTTTGAGTATGCTAGTTTCTTTAATTAAAACAAAATTAAATACGATAATTAATTCCAAACTAAGTATTTATACATTGAACTTGGAAAATTTAGATGCTAATATTAAGAAATATAATAAAGATGCTGAAATGCTTTTGACTTATCTGAAAAATAATTAAAGATTGTCCACACTTATCCAATGTATCCTCGTTTGGAAAGTTTAATCTAAATCAAAGCCAATAATTAATTTTAATTATATTTTATGTGTTTGACAACTTTTTAACCACATATTTCATTAATATTTATTTAAATCTGCTTTTACCCAACAAAGGCATAATAAAGATTACATAAATGATCCTATAAAATTATTGGAATTCCAAGGCACAGCTAGAGTTAAACACCCCCCACCCCTTCTCCGTTGAATTTCCTCTGCTAAAATACAAATCTCATAATCCAAAACCTTTCTGCATTTGAATGGCACTCCCTGAAACCGAACAAGAAGCTGCTGAAACTCTCCCGGATGCCTGGGACTACAAAGGCCGCCCCGCCCTAAAATCCTCCTCTGGCGGCTGGGGTTGTGCCGCCATGATTTTAGGTCGAGTACCGCATATACCAAACATGCACTGTGCATCCAGGGTCTATTTATTTAATCCCGTTTCTAATATTTGGCTTGTTATCCATTTGTGATCAGGAGTCGAGGTTTGCGAGAGGTTGACAACCCTAGGAATAGCTGTTAACCTGGTGACATATTTAACTGCTAACATGCATTTGGGCAATGCTAGCTCTGCAAATACAGTTACTAATTTTCTTGGTACTTCTTTTATGCTGTGTTTACTTGGTGGCTTTGTCGCGGATACATTTTTGGGAAGGTAAATATAATGTTTGAAGATTTAATTTACTTACATATATATTATTCTTAATTAACAATTTTCTTTTGTTCATTAAATTCGTTGAATTTTTCTTACAGGTACTTGACTATTGGCATCTTCGCAACTGTTCAAGCAATGGTTAGTTTATCTTGCTTTACTGAACCCTTCTACTTGTCTGAATTTTCTGGAGAATATTTTGTATAATTCTATAATATGAAATGATAAAGCGTGGTTAACTTCCAAGAATCTGGCTCTGTGGACTTTTTCTTAAACTTAAGACTTTTTTCTGTGAGATATCTTGCTAAGACATATCAATTAGTCCATGAAAAAATCGATCCAATTTGTTCGAGAATACTATTTTTATTTCTTGTGATGAGGAAAATCGGAAGAAAAAAACGAAAAAAGAATGTACTAGAACTAAAAAAGTAAGAGTAATTTCAACAGTTCTGGCTAGTTGTGAATTTATTATACAATCTGAATATTTTATATTGTTTTTATGATTAGGGAGTAACAATCTTGACAATCTCAACTATAATTCCAAGTCTTCGACCTCCAAAATGTTCCCCGGGCAGAGAATCGTGCATCCCTGCTAGTGGAATGCAACTAGTTGTTCTTTACATAGCATTGTATCTAACCGCCCTAGGGACCGGAGGCCTAAAATCGAGTGTTTCAGGTTTCGGGTCAGACCAATTTGAGGATTCGGACAAGAAAGAAAGAGAACAAATGACCAAGTTCTTCAACTGGTTCTTCTTCTTCATAAGCATTGGATCACTTGCTGCAGTGACAGTTCTTGTTTACGTTCAAGACAATTTGGGGAGGGAATGGGGTTATGGAATATGTGCATGTGCCATTGTTTTTGGTATAGTTGTGTTTTTGGCAGGCACAAGACGATATCGTTTCAAGAAACTTGTGGGAAGTCCTTTGACGCAGATCGCCTCAGTGTTCGTGGCCGCATGGAGGAAGAGACACATCGAGCCGCCGTCCGATCCTTCCCTTCTATACAATGTTGATGATATTGAAGTGAATAGCAAGAAGAAGAAGCAAAAATTGATGCACAGCAAAGAGTTCAGGTAATTTACTTTGCTGTAACAACTGTCTCCTAGTAATATATTTCTTTCAAGCGAGGTCATTAAATATATGAAATAATTCATACCTTATAATCTAATTAATTCATACCTTATTTCTTTCAACCGTCCGATCCTTCCCTTCTATACAATAAATGATTGATTACTAAAACAGGTAGAAAAATCAGAGTCAAATAAATTGTCATAGGTCTTATAATTATTGACCAAAATAATAATATAAGACATGCTTAGCGTACAGTATTCAACAAATCGCCATAAAATATAAGAGACAAAATTTAAACTTCTATGTTTAATTTTTATTAAAATCTTCTTCTTTATTTAATAAGACATGCCTTGCAACATTTACATTAAAGTTTATATAAGGGATTATGCTTACATGACACCCTATCATTTGTCATTATAAAACACTATCAACTTTTTCATCCAATCGTTTCCCTCGGCATTATTTTTGGAAATCGTTTATGTACCATTTTTTATGTACAAGTAGCAAATTCATATATACCATGGACAAGTACGCATAATACCATGACTAAATTAAACCAGATAAAATTCAAGATCGCGAGCCACTGGACAATTTATCGCCTACTCGATCACGATCCTTGTCCCTTGCATCAATATAATTACAAACACACATATAAAATAGTTAATACCTTCCCCATATATGACTAAGGTTTGGTGGACCCCTGTTGGTCATCAGATGAGACAAGAAACTCTCAGCATAAGATTTAGATAACTTGGTTTCATAAGGATAACTTGTTTGGCATCGAAAAGTTAAAAATATTGCTTTTTGTGTTCTAACATTTTATTTATTTTGGTTTCAAGGTTCCTCGACAACGCAGCAATCAAAGATCCTGAAATATCTGTGGTGAGTAAGTGGTATCTTTCAACTTTAACCGATGTAGAAGAAGTCAAGTTGGTGGCTAGAATGCTACCCGCATGGGCCACAACAATAATGTTTTGGACTGTCTATGCCCAAATGACCACATTCTCAGTGTCACAGGCCACCACAATGGATCGACACATCGGAAAATCGTTCCAAATTCCGGCTGCCTCCCTAACTGTCTTCTTCGTCGGTAGCATTCTCCTAACCGTCCCAATTTACGATCGCATCATTGTTCCAATTTGCAGAAGGATTATAAAGAACCCTCACGGTCTCGCTCCATTACAACGTATAGGAGTCGGCCTAGTACTATCGATACTAGCCATGGTTGCAGCTGCACTTACTGAAATCAAGAGGCTAGACGTGGCGCGTAAACATGGTTTAACGAATGATCCAATGGCCAGGGTTCCGTTAAGTGTGTTCTGGTTGGTACCACAATTCTTCTTGGTGGGGGCTGGTGAGGCATTCACCTACATTGGACAACTCGATTTCTTCCTAAGAGAGTGTCCTAAGGGAATGAAAACAATGAGTACCGGGTTGTTTTTAAGCACACTTTCACTAGGGTTTTTCTTTAGTTCTATTTTGGTTACTATAGTACACAAAGTCACAGGTGACAAGAAGCCATGGTTGGCTGACAACCTTAACCAAGGAAAGCTTTATGACTTCTACTGGCTTTTGGCAATTCTGAGTGTTCTGAATTTCATAATATATATGGTTAGTGCAAAAGGGTATGTGTACAAGGAGAAAAGGCTTGCTGAAGAGGGGATTGAATTGGAAGAAACAGATGGACCAAGCTGCCATTAGTTGCAGTTTTCGTGTCTAGTATCATTATGTGTGGTGATTTTCAGCTCAAATTACAGGGTTTACAACTTTTTTTGTTGTGTACCTTGAATTTGTAACTTCGCGCACACTCTGTAGTTGTGCACATTCTGTCCTCGACAATAACTAAATTACTTTCTCGTTAATTACAGTTGAATTTGTCCTCTCATTGCTACTATAGTTTAATTTTCAGGAACCATTCTGATATCATTTCGATCAGTAATGTAAAGATTTGATGTTCTATTATAAAAGATTAATATTTGTTCCTTACATATTATTTATTTATTTTATATTTAATCTTGATCTGGAATTTATTTCTTAACATGTTTCGGATTGAGAACATCAATTTTGGAATCTTGATGCCAGATCGTATTGCTCATGTCAGTATAATGGAATATGATATGATATAAAGATAGAAACTCTTCATAGAGAAAATTAAACACACATTGCTTGAATAGACAAAGCTATATTAATTTCGATTCGATGTGTGCATAAGAATTCAAATTTATTTTTGCATGAAATTTCTTGTGGTTGCGACTACATGGAGCGGACGCAGACATTTTACATTAGGGGGTCACAATTAAACTTTTGAAAAAAGTGACGAAATTTTTTTTATTACTTTATATAGTTTATAAATTGATATACTACTTTTTCCTCTTAATTATTTTTACATCTAAAAAATATTTATATAAAAAAAATTTTGATCATTTTTAGAATTCTTTTAGTATTGTTACGTTTTCCTCTCAATCAATTATTATTTTTTAAATAATCTAATAAATTTCCTAATAAAATTTTTGACGTCATTTGAAAAAAAAAAAATTAATTGATCGAGAAAAAAAAATTCCTAAAAATAACTGAATTTTTTTTGTATATACAATTTTTATCATATATAAAAATAATCAAGATGAAAAGTAGTATAACAATTTATAACCCCTATGAAGTAATAAAAATTTTATTGAGAATTTTTACGTCCAAAAAAAATAAAATTTGACGTCACACCACATATAAAATTTCCTAATAAAATAATGTAAATTATATTGAGAAATTTTTCCCACAAAAATGATAAACAATAATAAATAATTGATTTATACGCCTCTTTTCAGCATACTTGTTCGACGTACGTTTAATTATTTTCGATATTCATTTAGATCATTCGATATATTTATGATATAGTTCTCGAAATAAGCTTCGAGGGGATATAGAAGATTTATGGATATGACTAGCGTATAATTATCGAAGAATTTTTGAAATTAACTTGTTATCGAAATTTCTGAAATATTAGTTTGGAACGATCTATTTTGACGAGTCGTAACATTTGCTACGATTGGTCATTTCGCACACCATTAACGACGTGAAATATTAGGTCGTGAGTACTTTAAAATGTTATTAAGAATGTAATATTTCAATTTCGTTTAATTTTCCATAATGAGCTCGGAAAAAAAATAAATAAATAAAAAATAGAGGAAAAAATTGGAGGGTCAAGTTACCAATGGGACCCCCTTGGTTCCGCCCAACAGAATCCTCCTTTGTACATACATAGATTATCATAATTATTTCATTTAGATGCGTTTATAAGTAGTTGAATAATATTCGATTGAATTTTGTTGTTGTGGCAGAATAATCCTCTGTACATTCAGAGCTTTACGGAGGCAGAAGATGCGCTCAAGCGTCATTATATAGTCCACTGCTCTCTTGACGTAGTTGACGGAAGGGGTAATCATTTAGATCTTTTGATTTCGCCTTTACTGTTTTCATTTATATATGGAATGAGTAATGCCCTTTGTACCCAGGCGTGTAATGCCCAGTTATCCTGCCCCACTGCCCCCCTCATATGGGGCGAGGTCCCACGTCGGGGCCCACACGTGGGTACCGACCCCATGTGAGGAAGGCGGTGGGGCCAGGTAACCGGGCGTGTAAACGCCCAGGTACGAATAGCATGATCTGTATTACTAGCTAATTCAAGATCAGGTAAATTGACTCTGATTGAGTCCTGTATCACTAGCTAATATAAAGCTTGATTTGTGCTTATAAATTCTTCAAAACACTCTACTTAGCTGGGAAAATTGACGGCATAAGCATCGTTTCCAAAATAAAGGATGGAACGTAATGATTCCAATTGAATCCCACATTGCTAAGTTAAGACTTGATTTAGTACGAAACAGTCGGCTTACAAACTGGTTTTATCGCTGAGTTCTACTCAATGTAGTGAATTTGCTTTAAACACATTATTTCAAATCCCAATTTAATAGTGGACTGCATTGGTTGGCAGTCATTAAGAGCAAATAAATAAATGGGATCGTGCCTCCGGGCATAATCCAGTGGTGTAAAGAACAGGAGTGAGGTTATCTCGCACTTTACTGATAGCCGTAGTGTAGAGGTTCAATTCCTGAAACATGGAATTGGGCTCCTTGCAGGCACAGTGTACAGACAGCTCTTGTTCCTTGGTCTGTTGGGTTACATCCTGCGATTTACATCCCTCACAAAGCTCTAGGGGCGGGACGGTGAGAGCCCTCAAAGTTGGGGTTCAACCTTTTTAAATAAATGGGATCGTGGTTTCTGAACCTGGAGAAGAGATCAAAGTCTGTCAAATAAGTGAAAGTGATTTAAACGAGTCCAGCTGTGGTGATTTGAATACACTGTATGATGATTTATATGAGTCCGAAACAGTGGTGATTTGGTAGAATATAAGGTATCTAATCGGGATAAATGGCTCCAACTGTTCATAAATCTTAGCTCAAACAATGATTGAAATGTGTTAAAAGCTCTATTTTATCAATGATCTCTTTTAGAACTTGCTAAATATATTTTACAGAAATCATGCTGTCACCTGGATTGTTTTAATTTTACTTTGCGTGTTATTTAGTCAGTGAACAATCCAAAAAAGTCTGGCCCAACATTCAATGAAACATTTCTTGGTTTGCTCTATCCAACTGAAAACTACAAAGTGTAAGTATATTCACTTGCTTAACTTCCTATTAAATTTACTGATGAAAATCGGATAGTATAGGATGAATCTCATATCATCAATTATTGAAGATGAAAATATTTTGTGGGTGTAACTTTCATGTTTCCTCTTGCAAATGCCCTCTGTTCTCATATTCTGCTTGTTATCAGGTATAGTTATTTGACTAACACCGAGGTGAAGTTCATAATGGTGACAACAGATATGGACGTCAGAGATGCAGATGTGAGAAATGTAAGCATTACAAAGCACTGATGAAGTTTCTGTTTTATTGATTATTAAACTTTGATGTAGTCCATCATGAATTTATTGTAGTCCATCATGAATTTATTGTTCTTTTCCTGTGAAAATTGCTGGGATTAATTTAAATTTCTGGGTTGATCCCCATTTTTTGGTTTGGTAACGATAATTTGCTATGAAATAACATGAAAGAGAGAACCTTAAAATTAGAAAATGAAAAGTAGAACTTATTATCTCTCCTTTATTGGAGCTTTGTAACTAGTGGCCGCTTTCTCGTCGCTAGAGCGTTTTCTCAGTGCGTGCATGACCAAGGCCATGACCAAATTACCTCCCACTCCCAGATGGGGAAACTCATGCCCTTATCCACTTTAAAGGGTTTAGGAAGAAAATCCTGAAGCTTTACACAAACACGGATGCCATAATTACAGCACTTACTGAAGTGTTTCTCTTGCTATCTCATTGCAGTCCAGCCCAGATTTTGTAGTAAAATCTGATCCCAATGGCATAAAAGTCACTCAGTTGTGAAGCACATAACCTTTTACGAGTCCCTAAACTCAATTTGTTTTGCAACAGGAGGGTAGCTTCGAATTTTTTTCGACTTTAGAGTTCATTATATAAAGTTTCATCTGTAGATGCAAATATACGTTTTCTGCAATAATTTGAGTTGCTACTTTACGAATGTCTATGGATACACTTCAGTCTTAAAATTTGGCAGCTAACTCTCCTTCCGTGTTCTTGGTAATTTTAGTTTTTCAGGAGGTTCCATGCTGCTTACGTTGATGCAGTTTCGAATCCATTTCACGTTCCAGGCAAGAAAATAAATTCCCGAACTTTTGCTGAAAGATTCAGCACGATTGTCAACTCGTTCAGATTGAATTCAGCTGGCTGAAAAACAATTTTTGCTCCCACTTCTATGTTTGAAGCTTTTCATTTTGTTTACTTTCCTTTAAAGGTGGTGTCCCTAACTGGATTTTGGAGCTATAGCTCATTTGTTGAATCCTTTTTTACACGGACACTTCAACTAAGGTAACGTGTCCGTTTAGATCACATGTTGCCATGTTGGTACCAACACTCTAGCATAATTATTTTTCTTTTTTATTAGAAACACTATATATTTTTAACTCAAAATTATTAGTAAACATCAAACTCATATTTAAAAGAATTCTACAAAAAAAATAATAAAAATAAAATAAAATAAATAATTAGTATAAAAATAAATTTATACTATATAAATGAAGAATTGTAAAGAACTTAATCAATGTATCAGGAATGTGTCGTGCCATAACTTTTTTGAAAAATTGCGTGTCGGCGGACATACGCGTCCGTATCAGTACATCATAGGTTGAATCTCATTGCTTGAATATTTGACTTCACAGGATGAGTAGACTTTGTAGAATCTACCGTGTTTTGAAGTGAAAAATGAAACTATATTCTTGATAAAGATCATTGAACGTCATACACAGTGACCTAATATTTGCGTCAAAAATTTCGGTGCCGCCTTTTCTGCTCCTGAAGTTTGGGTGATCCTAAGAGTGTGGTAGCGTTGAATTTGTTCGCTTGTCTACTTTTTAGCCCATTTGGAGATGTAAAGGCCTCACAGATGTGAAAATAGTACGTAGATACAAAGTTTTTCAGTTTAATTTGTCATTTTTCTTTCCTCATTAGTGCATCCAACCTCCTCCCAGTAAATTCTTGGATGCACAGGGTGTAATGGATCTATCTTTGTTCTTATCTCATATTAGAGGTAAACAAATCAAGAGGACATGATTCCACAATTAATAAAAAAGGGTTAAACAATTGCTTGGACATAAATGAGAAAACTCATATAACAATGGAAAACAAAGACAGTCTTGAGAAAATTCAAAATTCATCATCGTCATCCTCAGCTATATGCTTGGCAAGCTCTTGCTCTTGCTGTTGTCTCTCTCTTCTCTTCTCTTCTCTGCACTTTCCTTTTCTTTGTGGGAATTAGGTGGAAATCGAAGGGCACGCACTGCCTCGTTATGCATATTCAGGCAGAAAGCAATTCTCGAGTTGAAAGCAACTTGAGGCTCATTTGTAGAGTAGATATCCCCAGTCTCCTTTGACACCGTCCACCCATTAGCATGATCTAATGTGGCATCAATTGCACCATCTCGGATTGCTTTGGCTACAATACTCTCAGCATCAGCTATAGGTTTTGGAGAATTCAATCTCAGCTTTTTTGCTACATCAGCTAGTGAGATCCTGGAGTACGAGATGCTGATGTTGCGGAGCCCAGTCCTAATGACATGACGCAGCCGAACAATTAAATTGTCAGTCCGATCTGTGCTGAATGTATTGGAGAACTTTTCAGCCACTGTTTTGAACAACTTTCCAATTCGAACAGCCTGAAGACCCATACGTAAGAACAAATCAATTGCATAAGCTTAGAATATAACAAGTTGCTTTCCTTCAGAAAATATTATCCAGTTGTAAGCCAATATACAGGATCTTTCCTAGAATACAAGACGGTGGAAGCATTCACCAGAGGCAAGTTTGAACAAACGCAAAAATGAGAATCCCAAGGCTTGCATCGAATGAAAAGGAGAAAAAAATTATATATATATTCCTAAATCTAGGATTCCTGATATGGTAAGGAAAAATTTTCAGGTTTAATTGTCTTTACTTACATTTGTAAGTTCAAAGTATGGCCTCAAAGCCTTTTCCATTCCTTTCTGCATAAAAATAGTTCTTTCAGGAATCTCTCCCAGCGATAATCTGACAACTATAGCCCACTTGTTGCATATAACTCTGAATCCAAGAGCAGCATCAGGTGCTTTCCTAGCGGCTTGGAGGAGGGACTCTTTAGCATCAGTATATTCCAACTGAATTGTCCTAATTTTTCAAAGGTAAAAGAGGAATCTGCAAAACTGGAAAGGATACAAGCCATGGTGAGAACTGAGAACCATCCGACAGTAATAAAAATTAAAACATCTTGGCACACAAATTCTTACTCTAGCCTCACCAGAGAAAAAAGTGTGACGAGAAACAAAATAACGAATAAAATTAAGACACCTTAGAACAGAAAAACACAAAATATAATTTTTATTTTTTTTTTAATTTTTTTTATAATAATAGAAGTGAGAGAAGCAATAAAAAAATATTAACTATATTTACAGTCAATGATTGGAAATATAAGCAACTTAGATGGAAAGGAAGTACAGTTGTTATTCATGCAAATAGTTTTACAACTTCCATCAACAATATCCTCTAATGATATTTCAGGTAGATTATTGCATATTTACTGCTCAGCATGTACCGGTAACAGTTTAAAAATTTGGCATCACCTGCAGAGACATATTAAAAGTTCAATTAGAAATGATACTTGATCCTGCTGCTATTTCTAAAGGACGGGCTAAGATACATATAGTTCTGATTCTTCCATTAAGAAAGACAAGTCTCCTTTCTGTACATAAACACAATATTTAGCCTTGTTTGGTGGGGATTAAAATTAAATTTTTATAAGATTTTGATAGAAGTTCTTGAAAGTACGGTTGAAAAGTTGTAGAACCATGAAAGATGTGGATAATATTAATTGTTTGACTTTTTCTTAAATTGAAATTTGATTTAAATCAATACCAAATAGGGGCTTAATATTTTTGTCACCTGTCTTCTCTTTGTTTTAACATTACAAACTCCATCTTAAGTTCAGGTCTAACTGACAACTCTATTAGAAGGCCATACCAGATGAACTTGGATCAAACAAGATTCACAGACCAAAGTTATAGAAAAATTGATAGCGTGGAATCATATGCCCAAATACTCCCAACTAAAAGAAGAAAAGCAAAAAAAAAAGAATGAATTAATATATGCATAAAATTAAGCGATATTTTATTGATTATTGAGAATTACCTGCTGGTTTGAATGAGTTTCAAACCGCGGAGCCTTCAATCTCAGTTTTTCAGCTTGATCGTATAAGTTGTAATGCAGGTAATTCCTCAGTAACAGATTGAGAAGTGTTTCCTGCCATATACCATTGTCAAGCAAGAGAATACGTCCAACCATAAATACAAACTAATTGCACATGTGATCAGCAACAAACCTGTCCCAACTCATCAGACGCAATGTTGCGGTCCGGTGTAATGCCAGCAGATTACTGTTAACAAAAGAGTCTCCATTAGATGTAAAAGACCACAAAAGAGAAAACCAATAAGATATTCCAAAAAATGGCGAAAACAACATTCAACACCATTTGTTCTGTCTGCTCATGTTCGTTTAGAAGAGCCAACAGGAATACATCTCCAACCCAGCACCAAATTTTGCACTAAATTTTGCACCAAATCTTGCACCAAACTAAAATTCATCTCCAACCATTACACCAAAAATTACACCAAATGAACAGTATTTAACCATTTTCTTCCATTTTTTTATTCTTTATAATCTACTTAGTTGAAATATTATTTATTTAATTATTTCAGAAATACATAAATTACTAAATAAATAATTAATTAATCGTGTTTGATGTATTTTAAATTATTTTCGTCTTTTAATTAATTAATTAATTATTATGTCTTACATTTAAAATTTATTTTAAACACAAATAATTATTAATATTAATAAAAATAATAATAATTTATTATATTAAAAAATATACAGCAGAAATTACATAAATACCCTCAACAAATTTATTTGGGAAATGTAAAATAAGGGCAAAATTAGCATTTTACACTTGCACCATTTTGGTGCAAAGTGAATAGTGTTGCACCAAATATGGTGCAACACTATTCACTTTGCACCATTTTGCACCAAAATGGTGCAAAGTTTGGTGTTGGGTTGGAGCAATTTTGCACCAAAAAATGGTGCAAAATGGTGCAATGGTGTTGTGGTTGGAGATGGCCTTAGTATTGAACAAATAATTTTTTTTCTAATATTCATAAAGATATGGTCCAATTTGATTCGGTTCTAGTCATTAGAATTGTATAGAAATTTTCAATATTTAATAAGTGGAACTATTGGGTTTAAATTTAATTATAGAATTGCTCAAGTTCCGTTTAATTCGATTCTCAAATTCTCTACTATAATTAATTTTTTAATATTTATAAAACTACATTAATTTTACTAATGACGTGTTCAATTTTAGCTCTTACAAAATAATGTAGTCCAATTTTATATATCTTTTACATCTTTTTTTGTTGAGTTCTTCACAATTTTGATTGTTAAAAATTACAGGAAAGGAAGACAAACAAGCCACAATAATTAGGAGAGACGGTGTGATAAAATAATCTAGCTTATTTAAAATAAATAAAATAAAAAATTTAGAAAATTTGATTTTTATTTGATTTTTGATTTAGAATTGAGAACCAAACCGAACCCATCGATTATTGATTCTGGACTCATTCGAGTATTTAACTCAAGAAGAATCGCTCAGGGCGATTTGGTTTGATTCGAAAGTTTTGCTCAATCCTAACTATTCCAATTCTTGGGATAAAAAAGAAAAGGTGACATGGCCAGCCCGAGGGACTCTTTCATCATTTTACTTACCTTCAGGTAATTAAAGCAAAATTCTACTAGTCTGTCTCTGTTACGAAAAAATAATATTATTTGTATATATTAAGTTATATAACGGTTTATATATAAATAGGGTGTCCAAAAATGAATGGAGAAGTTTTTTCTTCTTCTTTATTTTTTTGGTTGAATAAATTCCGATACAATCATCTCACTGTATCATGTGTATGTAATCTATTATACACATGTAACACAACCGTGTACTACCTTTTATCCTTTTATTTTGGTAAAAAAACCTTCATGAATAGCCCAAACCTTGTGAAGCATCCCATAGCATCCATTCAATTCTTTTAGGGCATCTTTAAGAAGCTATCTATTTTCAAAGAGTCTATTTTGTAATTCAGAAAGCATATTCAAATTTAA